AGGGTCTCACTCTGTCGCCCACGCTGGAGTGCAGCGGTGATCATGGTGGACTGCAGCCTCCAACTTCTGGGTTCAAGCCATCCTGAGTCTTTCAAATTAGCAAAAAGAGCTACTGGGGAGGCTGAGGCATTGCAGCTCGTTAGTTACTGCAGCAGCCATGTGACTGGCACCCATTTGCACATGGGGAAACCGAGGCAGTGTCAGTAAGAGGCCTGGTGGGGTCCTGAGTTCAAATAAGTCAGCACAAGAGCTGCGGGGAGAGGCCCGCACTTGCGGGTGTGGGTGAGGCCAAATTGGTTTAAGGGAACCCTGCAGGGGCTGGGCTGGACCTGGGAGCTGGGAGGTCTTAGGGGACGGGAAGCTGGGCGGGAAGGAGAGCCATGGGACTCTGAGGGGGTGGTAGTGAGGCTAGTGGGGATAGAGGCTGGGCCCGGCCCTTGCCAGAGCTGCCTGGTTCTGTCTGTTTCAGAACAAAGTTCTGGACGTGGATGGTGTGAAGGTGAAGCTGCAGGTAAGGTGACTGGCAGAGGGCAAGCTGGGGGACAGGTGATGCCAGGGAGGGGCTGGACAGCCTGACCAGTGCCTGTTCGCTGCAGATGTGGGACACAGCTGGTCAGGAGCGGTTCCGCAGTGTTACCCATGCCTACTACCGTGACGCTCATGGTGAGCCCCTAGCTACCTGGGCTGGTTGGGGGGGCAGGGGCGGGTCTGAGCACCTGAGGGTGCAGGTGATGGTGGATGTCCTCACTGCCCTGTCCCCAGCTCTGCTGCTGCTCTACGATGTGACCAACAAGGCCTCCTTTGACAACATCCAGGTCAGTGGCCTTCCCGGTGGGGTGAAAGGGCCCTGATACGGCCTGACCCACCCCAACCTCCTTCTGGTAGATGACATCAGGGTTCCAAAGGACCCCACTGACAGCCTTCTGGGCTGGAGGTGGCCCAAGTAGACCTGAGTGCCATTCCAGCTCCCTCAACAGGACCCTTTGCATAAGGGACCTGTAAGGTGGGCTTCCCTAAGTGATACACGGGGGGTTATCACTTCTAAAGACAGGTATCCTGGCCAGGCATGGTGGCTTACCTGAGGTCAGGCGTTTGAGACCAGCCTGGCCAACATGGTGAAACCCCATCTCTACTAAAAATACAAAAATTAGCCGGGTGTGGTGACACACACCTGTAATCCCAGCTCCTCAGGAGGCTGAGGTTACAGTGAGTCAAGACTGTGCCACGGCACTCCAGCCTGGACGACAGAGCAAAATTGTCTCAAAAAAATAAAATGGGCCGGGCATGGTGGCTCACACTGTAATCCCACCACCTTGGGAGGCCGAGGTGGGCAGATCATGAGGTCAGGAGTTGGAGACTGGCCTGGCCAACATGGTGAAACCCCTTCTCTACCAAAGATACAAAAAATTAGTTGGGTGTGGTGGTGCATACCTGTAATCCCAGCTACTTGGGAGGCTGAACCCTCCTAAGGTTCTCTGAACCCGAGGAGAATAGTTGAACCCAGGAGATGGAGATTGCTTCATTGCACTCCAGCCTGGGCAACAGGGGAAGACTGTCTCAAAAAAAAAAAAAAAAAAAAAGATGAAATAGACAGGTGCCCTGTACAGTGTGACCTGGAGGACCAAAGTTCTGGGGCATGGGGCAAGCCATGGAGGGAGCCCCAGCCTCGTCTGCTGCCTCCCACAGGCCTGGCTGGCCGAGATCCATGAGTATGCCCAGCACGACGTGGCGCTCATGCTGCTGGGGAACAAGGTGGGAGGCCCGGTTTTCCTCACCTGGGTCACAGGGCAGGGCAGGTGAGGGGGCAGGGGCCAACCATGGGCCAGCTGTCACCAAGACCCTGTGCCTGGGCCAGGTGGACTCTGCCCATGAGCGTGTGGTGAAGAGGGAGGACGGGGAGAAGCTGGCCAAGGTGAGTCAAGGCAGGGGGGTGGTGAGGGGTTGCCCCTGGAGGCCACGAGCCTGGGCTGTCCCCGCCAGGCCACCACCTGGCAGCAGCTGTTTACAGGAGTATGGGCTGCCCTTCATGGAAACCAGCGCCAAGACGGGCCTCAACGTGGACTTGGCCTTCACAGCCATAGCAAAGTAAGTCCTGCCAGTCACCAGGGCTCCCCCAGCACAGGGCCTAAACCCTCTTATTGGAGTCCAGGTCATCGTGTCCCCTTGTCACCCCCACTCCGCAGGGAGTTGAAGCAGCGCTCCATGAAGACTCCCAGCGAGCCACGCTTCCGGCTGCACGATTACGTTAAGAGGGAGGGTCGCGGGGCCTCCTGCTGCCGCCCTTGAACCTGGCTGAGCTCAGTCCTCTGGAGGAAGCCGCCCAACCCCCAGAAGACTGGACAGTCTCCAGGCCCTTCTGACTTTGTTGCCCAGTGGCCAATACCAGTGTCTGTTTCCAGGAGCCCCAGGTCAAGCCTTGCTCCTTCCTCCTCCCAGCAGCAGTCCCAACAAGCAGGCTTCTGACAGCCCGTGGCCCGCACACTGGCCACCGTGGAAAAGCAGCCTTCTGCACGGGAGGGGGCGCGGCATGTGGACAGACTTTGCCACGGTGCTCTGCTGCCCCCTCCTGGGCACACCCAGGTGAGGGAGGGCTGGGGCTGGCACCACGCACAGTGCCTAACCCTAGAAAAGCCATGTCTTCACCCGCACACTGCTCAGGCAGGTCAGGGAGGTCGCCTGCCCACGCCTGGGACAGAGGGCTTCACTGCTAATCACATCGTGCATCTGTGTGTCCTGGGAGCTACCTGCTCCCAGTCCACCCTCTAGGAGGCTCTGGCTCAAACAGCAATAGGGTTTTCCTCAGTGACCTTGGAGGATGCCTGTGGCCTTGTGATAAAACGTGGGAAATCACAGAAACGCCAGAAAACAACAAATGCCAGCCCAGCCTGGCCACAGCTGAGGTCTGTGATTTCCCAGCACGCTCCACCTTGCACTCAACTTGGCCTGTTGATCGCAAGCCTTTGTTTTCAGTCCTAGTGAATAAAGTTGTGTTTTCTGAAGCGTCTGTCTCATGTATTGAAAAAAATCCACTTCTAGAGCAGATGCTAGAGCTTGAGAGACTCAGCAGGGCCCAGAACCGTCAGCAGGTGTGTGGTTATCACTCCCCCATGGCTGAGGCCTCCCTAGAGAGGAACATGGGAACCCTAGGTGGTGTCAACTTCCCTCCACAGATCTCAAAGGCTTTTTTGGACTCACCCTGGGGCAAAGGCATGAAAAACAGTATTTGGCTGGGTGTGGTGGCTCACACCTGCAATCCCAGCACTTTGGAAGGCTGAGGCGGGTGGATGACCTGAGGTCAGGGGTTTGAGACCAACCTAACACGGAGAAACCCCGTCTCTACTAAAAATACAAAATTAGTTAGGCATGGTGGTAGGCGCCTGTCATCCCAGTTACTTAGGCGGCTCAGGCAGGAAAATCGCTTGAGGCGGTGGTTGTGCCATCGCACTTCAGCCTGGGAAACAAGAGTGAAACTGTCTAAAAAAAAAAAAAAATTACGGGCAGAAATGGCGAAGGCAATCCCAAGAGATGGAAAGTCACTGGTAACGAGTTTCCGTTCCGTTTTCATGTCTGTGCACTTTCCCAAGATTGCCTGTGGATAAGCCAGACCTCCGGGGTGCCAGAAGAATAGGAAAATAAAGACACTTGAGAGAAAACCGAATCAACTCACTACCTTTGCTTTATTGCTAAGCACTTCAATCGCCACAACGCCCACCTTACCGCTCGGCCCTCCGGATTGAGGTTTACTTAGGTTCAAAATTTGCAGCCGGCTGGCGACGAAACCTGAAAGTCAGACAGCGCCAAAACGTAGACATAAGTCCCCACTCCCTCGTTTCGGGGAACACTTGTTTCCATTCTCAGCCCGTCTCCGTCAAGAGTGAGCACCCCCAAGCCTCAGTCTTGCAAAATAATCAGACTGCACGTGCAGTTTTCATACGAGGTGTCAGAAGTCAAAGCAATTCATCACAGGCTTGGAGAATAGGGGAACCCAGACCCGGCCCAGTCTTACCTGCAGGTAGCTGAGGGTCTGAGATTCAGGAAGAAACGTTTAAACACTAAGGGACAAAGTGGAGCCTAGGCCAAGGCTGGACGCCCGGGGACCAGGCCGGCCTGCAGCTTTCAGGCCGCCCTCAAAGCCACGCTCGTGGCCCAGTTCTTCCCTGGATCTTAGCACATGGCGTACGCATTAACACAACCCTCCAGCTTCGCACTCGACCGCAAAAGAAAGGAGGCGCGCGAGGCTCAAGCTTTTATAGAAACTTTCCCACCTCTGTCATTGGGCTATCCTGGCGGAAGTGCCCGCCTTCCCCTGACGCTGGTACGCCCCGCTCCCTACCGCGTTGTTTCCATCAATCGTACCGTGGCATTTCTTTTGGCAGCGGTCTCTCGGACCCAGAACCGAAGCTCCTCCCTTATGCAGAGTCCGTAAAGCCTAACAGTGAGTGACGGATGAGCAAAGCCAATCAGACATCAACCTGCAACATAGAGTGATTCTGAAGCCGCCAATCCCGCCCCGCGACGACGAGGCCGCCGGAAGTCGTAGTTTCGGAAATGCCGCGCATGAGGCAGCCGACCGGGCCCCGAGAGGTGGGGAACTACAAGTCCCGGCGGGCGCAGCGGCCGAGCGCTTCCGGCTCGCGCGTCCCGTCCCTTTCCCGGCCGGCGGCCGAGGGGGCATCATGAAGCGGGCTGGCAGTGCTGCCGCTCCCGGGCGGCCGCGGGCGGGTGAGTGTCCCCGCGGCGCGCCCGACCCGGAGCTCGCGCCTCGGGGCCGCGCAGTGGGGCGGGATCGGGCGCGTCGAGGTCTAGGCGAGGCGAGGCGAGGGGTCGGGCGGGGGGGGGGCGGGGCTGAGACGGTCGGGGTCGGGGTCCGGGTCCGGGTCGGGGTCGGAGTCCGCGTCGCTGTCCGTCCGCCTGTCAGTTGTCCGTCCCTCGCTCCGTCGTGTTCTCGCGCGTTCTTTACTCATTCCTTTTTCCTGCATTCCCCGAGCCGCCCGGGTGCCAGGCACTGTTCTGGCCGCCGGGAGACTGCGGAGAACACGGTCCCAGTTCTCCTGTGATCGGCATCTGCTGCAGGGTTCCCCAACCTCCGCACCATCGACCACGCGGTCCGGGTCGCTCTTTGCTGCGGGGGGCTGCCGTGTACATTGTAGGATGTGGAGCAGCCTGCCTGGCTCCTGGCCGCTAGATACCAGTAAACACCCGCTCTTCCTCAATTGCGATAACAAATGTCTCCTGCGGGACAACTCCCCCTTATTCCCGGTCTAGACAGACATGGTGGTGGGATGGACAAGAGATAGTCAAAATCGTGGGGAGCGGCGGTATGTGCTGTGAAAGAAAGAAAGAGGGTGCTGAAAAAGTGAGTACTGGTCGGGGGTGCGGGCGGCGCTACCGTTAGCCAAAGGCCTGATGGAGAAGCAGCCAGTCCCGGGACGTGCAGGAGGAGCGTTCCAAGAAGAGGGAGTCCGATGTACAAAGGCCTGGGGTGAGAAGGGGCCTGACGCACCCCAGCAAGCCCTGGCAAGTGGAGAGGCGAAGTCGATGAGGCCGGACCAGGTTCACAGAGTGCATGGCGGGGGTGGGGGCGGGGTTATTGTGCTTTCAAATGACTTGGGGTTGAGGAAGCGCTGGAGAGGCGGGTCCGATCTAGGTCCGGTAAAGAGCTTTCTAGCAGTTTGTGGACCACAGACTTCGGAGCTCACTGGGGAAGCAGGAGAGAGGGAGGCTAGGCCATCGTCTCCTAATCCCCACTGGGGTCCAGCTGTCAAGATATGGTTGTCTTGAGCCAGGCCAGAGTGGTCAGCTGGGGCTGAGTCTGGAGTCCAGGAGAGGGGCCTGCTGGATCCCACCCTGCTCTTCGGGGTGGAGGGCTGCTTGCTTGCTCAGGAATTTCACGCCGCCCAGCCTGTCTGCCCTCCTTTCTCACCACCCCTCCGACCCCTTCCTGGGCACACACAGGCCCCCTAGCCCTCGCCACGTGAGGAGCCTCCCTTTTCCTCATTCCTTCTCTTTGGGCTTCTCCCTTCCTAGACCCCTTTCCTGTGCCTCTCTATTGGGAATATCCTGACTTCACTGCTCTGGGCATTCATAGTTCTCTGTGGAAGCCCCGGGCCCCGTGTCCTGATGGGGAGCAGTGGTATGGGTAGCCTGGTCGAGGGAGGGGAGGGGCCAGGAGTCGGCACCCCAACCTGATGCCTCAACCTGAGGGTCTCTAGTGAAGTGACTTCCACCGTAGCCCACTGGGGCCAAGTGTCACGATATTTCTGGAAGTGAATGGAAAAGTTCAGGGTCTTTGGCACCCACCGAAAAGTGCCTTTGGCAGATTGAGTGGCGATTGGTGGGGCTCCTGCCCCTCCGTCTGCCTGTGTCCCCCATCAGGTTCCTAGCTCCTCCCAGGTCAGATTCGCGTTCAGCCATCACATGTCCCCACCCTCCCGCATAGGGCCTGGCACCCCATGGTTGGTGTGACTCTCGGCCAGCTGGTTGGACAAGGAATGAGCAGTTTGGGGAAAGGAGGAAGATGCGGTTGAAGGGCCTCCTGGCCAGGAAGCATGGGCAGCCTGGCTCTGGGATGCAGCCGCTCCCTGCCTTGGCATGGGACTGGCTCAGGCACTGCCAGGGCTCTGGATATGTGGTAGCTGTGGACGAAGCAGAAGGAATGGGACTCTGGTCACCACGACACAGCCTGGGCCGGCCTCTCCGCCTTCCTCAGTCTCCATGGTCTGCTCAGCAGAGGAGCTACTGTCTGGGGCGCCTTCCCTCTTGACAGGTGCATCTTCTCTTGGCTCCTTCCAGACGAGGGTCCGGCTCTACTCCAGTTTTCGAGAAACTGGAGGCTGGGAGGGCAGGTACACAGCTGTAAAGTGGCAGAAATGGAATTTGAACCGAGCTCTGTCTGAGCCCAGTGCCCGTTGCTTTGACCATGGTGTCACAGCATCTCCTGGACCGACGCCCTGCGGGATCAGGGAGGGCATGTGGGGAGGGCCGAGAACTGTTGGCTGCGTGTGTCTCGGTCTGGCCTTCTCGGTGGGTGGGCACCGAGGACTTCACCAGGCCCTCTGTGTGGCTCATGTGGGAGGAACCTGTGGAGAGGGACCCACCAAGCCCTTAGTCTTCTACAGATCCCCCGTTGCCCCCAGCCTTGCTCCCTGGAGGAGGAGGGTGCAGCCAGGTGGGGCAGGTGAAAGGGGAAAGTGAGCACTGGAGGCTGGGGCTGGTCATGTGCAGACCCGGACGCCCTCACTCAGCTGGAGGAGGCCAGCTGCCTGGAAACTCGGGGTGGAGGTGACCCAACCCCAGAAGCACCCAGGTGGGAAGTGGGGGGTAGCGACGCAGAGGGCCAGGACTGAGGGGCATGGGACGGTGTGGGAAAGGAGGTGGCAGTGCGGTGGCACGCTGGCATGAAAGTGCTGGGTGGCTGAGTGGGTCAGACGGTCTCTGCCCTCACGTTCCTGTTGCCTCTTCGGGCCCAGATCTGGCCAGTGTTTGTGTCAGCTCCCTGCTGCTGCAGGGCAGAAGGAAGGAGAGAGCCCGGGAGACTGAGCCACACAGGAAGCAAATGAGAACATAGAGCAGGACGGGGAGACATGGGCTGGGGTGGGGGGGGCGCGCACCGCTGCCCTTGGCTCTTGGGCAAAGCTCATGACCTGTTGCTGAGAGTCTGAGGCCCACTTGACTTGGGTGAGAGCCAGGAATGCACTCCCCAGCCCGGGGCCGTGAAGCTGGGGTTTCTTCCTGTGCCCCAGGATACTCTCCCCACTCTGGATCCCAGCAGCCTCATCCTCCAGGAAGCCCTCTGGACTTCCCCTTGACTGGACCAAGTCCCCACACAATAGACAGCCATGAGATACGGGGAAAGAAGGACTGAGAGATGTCGCCAGCCCTCAAGGGGCCAAAGGGGCAGCAAAAGGAATCTTTACTGTGAAGTTGGGGTAAAACCTTGGCCAAGCTGGGGGGACCCCCTCCCTGGAGCAGAGGGAGCTGTGGACAGTGGAGAGGCTTGGCCAGGGCAAGACAGGCTTGCAGGCTGAGTGGCTGCAGTAGGAGCAGATCTGGGGAGTTCAGAGGCCTCTGCAGAGCTGGGGCTGTGGGTGTGGGGGGCAGGGACAGGCAAGGGGGGCGCGGTGCTAGGAGGGAAGGGGGGCCAAGCTGGCCTCGGACCAGGGCCTGCTGGGGTTCTGAGGGGATCCTGAGGACCAAGGCAGGCAGAGGCCAGGGGCACCCCAGGGGCCTTCGACGTCACACCCTGCCTATTTGGGATGGAAAAAACGTTCTAAGGGACGTCAGGGAACAGCGGCGGAAGTGCGTGTGGCTTTGCTATGGCAACCAGGCCTGTTTCTATAGAATTTAGCGGCCTGGGCTTGGGCCGGGGGGCTGAGGCAGGGGCTGGGCTGGGGCGGGCAGTCTGTGGGTGCCCTGGGCAGGCTCTGTGATGCCAGAGGCCATGCTCGGAGCTCTGGCCGCAGTCCAGCCAGCCGGCCACACACAGCCCTGTGGCAGGCGGGGCGAAGGCTCCTGGAGCCATCCCAGGCTCCTCCCAGGGCAGTTGCAGGCCTCACAGGCACACCCACCCACGGCTCACTCCACACATATTCAGGGGACCCCCATACCCCACCTGCCCTGGGCTGCTAGAGGAGCTGCTTTCAGGCTGGGCCTGGCCTCAGCAGGGAGCTGCATCTAGAAGCCCCCATCGCCCCCACTCAGCAGGGCTCCCCTGGGCTGCTGCCAGGTGGGCGGGGACCCCTGACCCAGACCCCCCTCCAAGTGTGTCTGCAGGGAAAGGGGTGGGTGTCCGCATCCCACATGCCCCCAGGGCGATGCCCCAGCAGAGCCCTCTAAGCCCAGCTTGTGGGGGCTGGGGAGGGGCTGCTGAGGGATATGCTGAAGAGGGGCTGGGGTGGAGGCAAAGAGGGGCTGAGGGAGACTTCCGCTTCCTTATTGTTCAGTGGCTGCCCCCAGGGCCCCGGGATCCCTGCTATGTGGATGTGGGGTGGACAAAGACCCTGGGCCTGAATCCCAGTTTCAGGTGACGTCAGGGAGGGGCTGCCCTGTGTTGGCCCCAGGAGGAGGGGACAGTGGGAGGCCAATCCTACCCTTCTCCTCTGCACAGTGCCGACCCATGCACCTCGTCCCTGAAGGTCAGCACTGGCCTTCCCCAGGGTGGATGCTGCGCTTCCTCAAGGACTTTTCTCTTTCAAAGATCGAATCCCCCTGGAGCATCCAGCCTGGGTGGTGCAGACGGAGCGGGCGGTGCGGACTCCAGAAGGGCCGTGTGGTGGGGACATGGAAGGAGGGGCAGAGGGGCTGGGGGAGAAAGCCCTGTCTCAGTCCCTAGCTGCTCCTGTAGCTTCTCCCAGTTTGGGAAGAGGCTCCAATGCTATAGAGCACCCCCCACTTCCCCAGCGCTGGGAACTGGGGGGTGGAGAGACCAGAGCACTGGAGGGGGTTCTCAGTCTGGCTGACAGTTTCCTGCTCGGCCAGCCCCAGCCTTGATGAGTGTGGGGTGGGAAAGAGGCACCCTCCCTCTGGGGGGCAGGGCATGCCCCCAGGACAGCCTCCCAGCCACAGGGGTGCCAAGCTATTGCACGTCCCAGCTGTGGCCTGAGGGGTCCTCTCCCTACTGGGGAAACTTATTACAAAACCCAGCCCCTGGGACTGGGCTGAGGGGAGGCCTTGGGCATCTTGCTCAATTCTGAGGTGCAGGGGTTGGATCCTGCCTTAGGGCGGGACACAAACGTTCCCTGGCCTCCAGCCCTGGGGTTCCTCCCACCTCCGTGTCCCTGGCTGGAGCTGAACACTGAACCCAAGTGAACTGGGAAGCAGCCTCCTGTGCAGAGCATCCCCCTCCACCCCCTCCCTCCCCCTTCCACCCCCTCCCTCCACCCTCCACCCCTCCCTTCCTCCACCCTCTCCACCCCTCCCTCCGCCCCTCCCTCCCTGCACCCCCTCCACCCCTCCCCCCTCCACACCCTCCCTATGCCCCCTCCCCCTCCCTCCCCCACTCCACCTCTCCCTCCCTCCGCCCCCTCCACCCTTCCGTCCGCCCTCTGCCCCTCCCTCCCTCCCTCCGCCCCCCCCGCCCCCTCTCTCCCTCTGCCCCCTCCCTCCCTCCACCCCCCCCCCCCCCCTCTGTCCCACTCCGCTGGCTCTTGGTGGGGTCTTGTGCACCCCACAGATCCTGTGGTGTTGTCCCCATGGCCTGGCTGCTGTTGGCCAGCTGGGACTTTGTGGCTGATTTGCACGTTGCCCTGCGTGCCTTTCTGTTCACCTCACTTCAGAGTGAGGGGGAAGCCAGACACCTGCTCTTCCAGACTAAGCAACAGGCACCGAAGCCAGCCCGACCCATCCTGGGGGAGTGCCTGCTGGGGTCCCGGCCACCTGGGCCCCGGGCAGGCATCACTGGCAGGGCTCACAGCTGGCCCTGGGGTCCTGGAAGCTTGCAGTGCAGGGAGCCGATGGGTTTGTAAAATGCAAGTCAGTGTCTCCTAGCGGCTGCCCAGTGATCCCCTCCCTGCTCGAATGGGGCAGGAGCCAACCTGGGGCTCCCAAAAGGGCTGAACCTCCCGAGCTGAATCGTGGAGCCCTGCGGTTCAGGCTATCGGGGCCTTACCCCAGTTGGGACATCTTCACCCCAAGCACGATGGCAAAAGGCAAGCCCTGGCCAGCTCTCCCCGACCTTCCTGCCAGGAGCTGCTGGAGATGGGATAGGCATGTGCCAGGGCAGAACAGCATTCTAGACACACCACAACCACACCTCTGTCCCAGGGCTGACTCCTCTGAGCCTGGCTGCAGGTGTGTGGCACTGCCCACACTCAGGAGCCCCTGCCTCTTCCACAAGAGGAGTCCCCTGAGAGCCCAGTCTGGGACACACAGGGCTGAGCCCCTCGAGTCGCAGTGGGACCTGGAGGAGGCCGAGGGAGGCTTTGGCCAGGCCCAATCTCCCAACACCATGGGATGCACAGAGCAGGTGGGGCTAGGTGGCTCGCGGCACTGCCAACTGCAGGGGCTAAGATGTCGGGTTGAGGCCCGAGTCCTGAAGGCTGAGTGGCTCCAGGGTGGGTGGCCTTACAGGTGGCATTGGAAGGGACAGGTGCGCCTGGGCAGCCTAGAGAAGGGGAGAGGAGACAGCAGGGGTGGTAGACAGTCTGGGAGCCCAAGTGCAGGGAACCAAGGGCTTGAGAGCCAGCCCCTCCCTGCAGACCTGTAGGCCGGGCTGGGGGACCCCAGGCCAGACTGCAGCCACGGTGGTGGGTGATATGAGTGGCAACTTGAAGGCGCATGCAGGGCGGGTATCACCAGAGGGGCCCAGTCAGGAGGGACTGATGGAGGAGGTGCTGGAGCCAGCTGGACTCAGTGATGCCCCCTGAGCCGTGCTCCCACTGGGTGGGGGCAGAGACCAGCTCTGCCACTTTCTTGGCCTGGGGCTAGGGCTCTCCTGCTCCTTTCAGGTCCCTGGGGCCTTGGTCTGCAGCCTGGCTTCCCCAGGGTGAGAGCAGGGCCGCAGGGGTGGGCTCCCTGCTGCTGCGCCGCCTCCAGAGCAAGCTTGTTCTGAAGGCTCCTGCCTTGGGAGCCGAGCCGTGGTGTGTCCTCACAGGGTGCCGTGCATGGGCCTCGAGGTAGACAGTGTGGGTGGGCCCAGGACGGGAGTCCTGGGGGTGTGACTTTCCTCCTCACAGGGACCTCAGCTTCAAGCCGGGATCGGCGGCGGCTCTATCCACAGGCAGCAGGAGACAGGGCTGTCTCAGCCGCGCTCTGCCGGGCTCCTGGCTTCCAGGCTGCCGGGGTCCTGAAAGTGGGGCCTGCTCGGGAGGACGGGTGCCTGCTGACAGAGCCTGGTGCCCCACAGGGGGAGGGTGGGCATCATCCGGTACGGACAGCCCCTTCCCCGGGCTCTGTCCTGGGTGTTACCTGTTGGCTGGGTCTCCTTTTCCCTCTAATGTCTACCTTCCCCTGCAGCTGTCCCTGGGTCTGACCAGCACTCCCAGCACCCACGGAGCAGCCACGTCTCCCCCAGGCCCATCGGCCCCTGTCTTCTGGGAGGGTGATTCCTGTGTGCCTTCTCCCTGCCCCCCTTCCCCACCAGCCCCTGAGTCCCTGTGGCGCGGGTGGGAGTGTGTGTGACCTGCGCAGCTTCCAGGGGCGGACTCGTCTCTCTCCTGCAGTTTTTTCCGTGCAGCGCGGTTTGTGCAGAGTTGGGTTCCAGTGACTTCCCCTGCAGGTTCTTTCTCTGGGGTGTCGCTGCTGTCTCCCCCTCTGCAGCCTGCTGCTGACTGGGTCCTGACCGTACCTGCCACGGCAGGAAACACATTCGTCGTGCCTTGACTGGTCCCTATGTGACTGGATCCCGCCACATGGGCCACACCCTGGGCCTACCCACCAAGGCCCAGCCTTGGCCCCAGGGACATTCAGCCTGGAGGTGACTGGCTGTGACTCAGGACCCAGAGGAGTAGAGAGAGCCGGGCAGGGGTCCCTCCACCTTGGGGAAGAGCTGGGTGGGCTCTTCAGGAGCTCAGAAGGGCTAAGTCTTGAGGGACGGGGATGCAGAGCCGCCTGCCCGCCCGGCCTCTGCATGCCTGGGATCCGTGTGAAGGGCCTTTGCCTCCTAGAGGCCTGCCTGAGCCGGTGCTGCTGGTGGAAGGCGGCTGCGGCGGCCCCATGGTGGTCCAGAGCAGGTCTGCATACTTGCAGCGGCCCGGCTGGCTCAAAGGGGCCTGGGCTCCATCTCTCAAGCCCCTCATTTGTGCTCCACCCACAGGAGATGCTGCCCAAGGACCCTAGATGCCTCTCTAGAGCATGAGCTCGGGCAAGAGTGCCCGCTACAACCGCTTCTCTGGAGGGCCCAGCAACCTTCCCACCCCAGACGTCACCACCGGGGTAAGGGCGTGCCCCAAGGGTAAGGGTCTGCCCCTCTGCATGCCCAACATCCCCAGAACCCCCCAGCATGCCCCAGGGACCTGGTGCTTCCTGCAGAGCTCCCAGCGCAGTCCCCTCCCAAGCTTGGGTCTCGGGGGAGCTCGTGTGTGTGTGTTAGGCGTGTGAGTGCTGCGTGGCCTGGCCTGCTCGCGTGTTAGGCGTGTGAGTGCTGCGTGGCCTGGCCTGCTCGCGTGTTAGGCGTGTGAGTGCTGCGTGGCCTGGCCTGCTCGCGTGTTAGGCGTGTGAGTGCTGCGTGGCCTGGCCCGGTCGCGTGTTAGGCGTGTGAGTGCTGCGTGGCCTGGCCCGGTCGCGTGTTAGGCGTGTGAGTGCTGCGTGGCCTGGCCCGGTCGCGTGTTAGGTATGTGAGTGGGCTCTACATGTGCATGTCCTCCTTGTGTCCGGGAATGAGGCCAGGTCTCCTCCATCCTCCCTCTAGACCAGAATGGAAACGACCTTCGGACCCGCCTTTTCGGCCGTCACCACCATCACAAAAGGTGAGCCCTTAAGCCGAGGCCAGCCCAGGCTGGGAATAACTGGGGCACCCCCACACCCACCCTCCTTAGGACTGAACGGCACTTCCTGGTGAGCCGGTGTTGCGTGCCAGTGCTGGGTGTGGGCAGCCTCACATCCCAGCCTCTGTCCTCACAGCCTCTCAGCCTTGGGCCTCCCTGCTGGACAGGAGTCAGGTGTCCTGCTCCTTGCGCTTTGGTGACTGTGCTGTGCCCTCTCTCCCTACCCTCTTCACCCCCTCTGGGGAGGCTGCCCTGACATCTCCAGCCCCACCACACAGCCCTGTCCCTTGTCACAGTGACCCCTAGCTTGTCCCCAGTCTCAGGCTTCTGGCCAGTCTCTGAAAGGTCCTGTGTGCCCGGAAGTCCTCTCTGGAGTTTGGGCCTAGGGCTTCAGTACCAGTGCTGCGGTTGTAAAATATTAATAGGAAAAGAGAGAGAGAGTGGAAGAGGTCCATAAGTCTGGTTTGTTTTTTTGAGATGAGTGTCACTCTGTCACCCAGGTTGGAGTACAGTGGCGTGATCTCGGCTCACTGCAACCTGCACCTCCTGGGATAAGTCCTCCTACCTCAGCCTCCCAGGAAGTTGGGACCACAGGCACCACCACACCTGGCTAATTTTTTTTTTATGTTTGGTAGAGATGAGGTGGCACCATGTTGCCCAGGATGGTCTCAAATTCCTGGGCTCAAGTGATCCTCCTGCCTCGGCCTCCCAAAGTGCTGGAATTACACGCATGAGCCACCATGCCAAACCCAATAAATCTTCACCTGCACATGACCACTGGGCGGGGTACACGACGGAAACCTGAAACTTCCTTGCTGCTTCTCAGCCCTAAACCCTAAGAACCAGAGTGCTGCAGGTTGAACGCAAGCACCGTGCTCAGGGAGACGGTGAGGAAGTGGCAGCACCTTCTTCCCGAGGTGCAGGGCCAGGGACCCTCGTTCGGGGCGGGGGCTCTGGGGAGACTTTGTTCTCTGTCCTTTCTGGCACTCTGCCCTTTGTAGAAGCACACCAGCTGCTAATTAGTTTTTTTAATTACTCTGATAAACCTGGCCATGGGGTCACAGGGCCGCCAAGGACACCTGTTCACAGTAGCACCTCTTTGCTGCCGGTGACTCCCTCAGGGGCTTTCCAGGGGCCCTCTTTTTTTTTTTTCTTGGATGGTTCTTTTTTTTTTTTTTTTTTTTGAGACGGAGTCTCGCTCTGTCACCCAGGCTGGAGTGCAGTGGCCGGATCTCAGCTCACTGCAAGCTCTGCCTCCCGGGTTCACGCCATTCTCCTGCCTCAGCCTCCCGAGTAGCTGGGACTACAGGCGCCTGCCACCTCACCCGGCTAAGTTTTTGTATTTTTAGTAGAGACGGGGTTTCACTGTGTTACCCAGGATGGTCTCGATCTCCTGACCTCGTGATCCGCCCGTCTCGGCCTCCCAAAGTGCTGGGATTACAGGCTTGAGCCACCGCGCCTGGCCTTTTTTTTTTTTTTTTTTTTCTTTTTTTTTGAGACGGAGTCTCGCTCTGTCGCCCAGGCTGGAGTGCAGTGGCCGGATCTCAGCTCACTGCAAGCTCCGCCTCCCAGGTTTATGCCATTCTCCTGCCTCAGCCTCCCGAGTAGCTGGGACTACAGGCGCCCGCCACCTCGCCCGGCTAGTTTTTTGTATTTTTTGTAGAGATGGGGTTTCACCGTGCTAGCCAGGATGGTCTCGATCTCCTGACCTCGTGATCCGCCCGTCTCGGCCTCCCAAAGTGCTGGGATTACAGGCGTGAGCCACCGCGCCCGGCCAGGATGGTTCTTTTGGAGGAAAAAATAAATAAATATCATCCCTAATCCCACCCCCACAAAAAATGGTGCCTTTTCATCTACCCTTAGAACCCCCATGGCCCCGTCACACGGCAGAAGGTGCCCAGGATGGGGCAGGGCACGGCTGCCGTGCCTGGCCCCTCAGCAGCAGGGATGGGCAGAGCCAGGCAGGGCGTCCCCAGGTGCCTCACCTGGCCCCTCATGACAGATGGGGAAACCGAGGCCCAGTCACACGGCAGCCTCTTGAGGCCTCGATTTTGAGCCCAGCACTGTTTGTGACATCCGAGCCTGGCTGGTCCTGAGTCCGGGAGGTGGCTCTCTCTGGCTCCCACGTGGACTGACCGGCCCTTCCCAGGGCAGCTCTGGCCCTGGCCAAGCTGGGGTGACGTGCGGGCAGGACGAGGGAGGGCACTTCAGCTCCTGCCTCAGAGGAGGCCACCAAGGCTGGGGCCACTTCCTGGTCCTGGCTGTGCCAGGGACACCAGGATGCGGTCCTGGCCCTTCTGCATCCCAGCCCCACACCTCGGCCTCAGCGGAACCTCTGTGAGTGGAGGCTGTCAGGGAACTCACCTGGCAGAGGCGCCTCAAGAGGCAAATAAAACGGCATCCCCAGCTACTGCCAGGCGGCCTTCAGAGTGACGGCTCCGTGTTGGCCATGGGCCTCGGCTGGCTCAGGCTGGGGTGCTGGGGAGCTTGTAGAGGCCTTGAAAGAAGACCCTGCCTGGGGTAGGCAGGGCTGGGGCTGGGGCTGCTGGACTCAGTGCTCGGACTGTCCAGATGTAGACCGAGCCCAGCGTCCATGCTCCTGGCACTGTTTTGACCTTGAGAGGGAACCCAAACTTCCCCGGCGCCATCCCTGCACGCTTTCTGCCTGCCTGGCCCTGGGGAGGGCTGTGAGCACGGGCCCCACCTCCCTCGCGTCTGCTGAGGGAGCCCCCACTCACGCACCAGCCATCTTGCCTTGCAGCTGATGGGACCAGCACCTACAAGCAGCACTGCAGGACACCCTCCTCCTCCAGCACTCTTGCCTACTCCCCGCGGGACGAGGAGGACAGCATGGTAGGTCCCCACCCCGCAGGAGCCCGTGTGAGCCTCAGCTTCCCCCCACCCTCCCTCCTGGGGGACCCGGTCCCAGGAGGAGCTGACGGTGAGCTGGTGAGGCACAGGAGAGGAACAGCACCTGTGGATACCCTGAGGCCTCAGCATGCATGGCAAGATGGCAAGTCTGTGAGAAAGGAGGCTCCTGTGGCTGAACTGTAGGTGGCAGAGGGCAGCCAGTGAGGGCAGCTGGGCCCGATGGCATGGCACCTGCAGGCCAGAATGAGGCATATTTGGCTCTATCTTAAGGGAGGTGGAAGCCACAGAAGGTTCGATCAGGATAACACAATAAAATATATGTTTTGAAAGGTTGCTTTGCTGCTGAGTAGGGAATGAGTGGGGTTGCTGGGTCCAGGCAGGGTTTGAGGAGGGATCCTGATGAGAGGAGGGAGAGGAAAGGTGTGTGGACCTAAGCTGTGGGGACACCAGAGGGAATGGGGTGGGGGCTGCGGAACCTGTGCCAAGTGCTGGGGGAGCCAGATAATTCCCTGTTGCTGGCTGTGTTGGGGGCAGAAAGGTTTAGGTCAGTCGGGGGCTGGCTGCTGGTACCTGAGCCCTGTGGCCAAGGTCTCAGTGGTCATTCCCTGCCATCCTGGTCAATGGCACTCATTGCTGAGCTCTGGGCCTACCCAGGGGACAGAGGCCAACTCTGCCCTGGGCATGAAGGACCAGCCTAGCAGGGGGTGGGGGCATGTGGGGCCTCCCTGGCAGCTGCTTCTCTCCAGTGCCTTGGACACCAGGTGTGGTGGCCCTGCTGGCCCTCTTGGGACCGAGGCCTTTTCCTTTTTCCTTTCTTTTTATTTTTTTTGAGATGGACTTTCTTTTTTTTTTTTTTTTTTTTTTTTTTTTTTTGAGACGGAGTCTCACTCTGTCCCCCTTGCTGGAGTGCAGTGGCCGGATCTCAGCTCACTGCAAGCTCTGCCTCCCGGGTTCAGGCCATTCTCCTGCCTCAGCCTCCCGAGTAGCTGGGACTACAGGCGCCCGCCACCTCGCCCGGCTAGTTTTTTTGTATTTTTTAGTAGAGACGGGGTTTCACTGTGTTAGCCAGGATGGTCTCGATCTCCTGACCTCGTGATCCACCCGTCTCGGCCTCCCAAAGTGCTGGGATTACAGGCTTGAGCCACCGCGCCCGGCCTTTTTTTTTTTTTAGACGGAGTCTCGCTCTGTTGCCCAGGCTGGAGTGCAGTGGCCGGATCTCAGCTCACTGCAAGCTCCGCCTCCTGGGTTTACGCCATTCTCCTGCCTCAGCCTCCCGAGTAGCTGGGACTACAGGCGCCCGCCACCTCGCCCGGCTAGTTTTTTGTATTTTTTAGTAGAGATGGGGTTTCACCGTGTTAACCAGGATGGTCTCGATCTCCTGACCTCGTGATCCGCCCGTCTCGGCCTCCCAAAGTGCTGGGATTACAGGCTTGAGCCACCGCGCCCGGCCGTGAGATGGACTTTCACTCTTATTGTCCAGGCGGGAGTGCAGTGGTGTGATCTCAGCTCACCGCAACCTCCGCCTCCCAGGTTTAAGTGACTCTCTGGCCTCAGCCTCCCGAGTAGCTGGGGTTACAGGCGTGCGCCACCACTGCCGGCTAATTTTGAATTTTTAGTAGAGACAGGGTTTCTCCATGTTGGTCAGGCTGGTCTCAAACTCCCGACCTCAGGTGATCCGCTCCCCTCGGCCTCCCAAAGTGCTGGGATTACAGGCATGAGCCACCGCACCCAGCCTTCTTTTTTCATTTCTAACAATAAGAAGAAAAGATTTTTTTTGTTTCGTTTGTTTGTTTGTATGTTTGTTTGTTGAGATGAAATCTAGTTTTGTCACCCATGCTGGAGTGCAGTGGTGCAATGTCAGCTCAACTGCAACCTCTCCCTCCTGGGTTCAAGCCATTCTCCTGCCTCAGTCTCCCAAGTAGCTGGGATTACACATCCGTGCTACCATGCCCAGCTAATTTTTGTATTTTTAGTAGAGATGGGTTTTCACCACATTGGCCAGGCTGGTCTCAAACTCCTGGCCTCAAGTGATCCGCCCACTTTGGACTCCCAAAGTGCTGGGATTACAGGCGTGAGCCACCTTGCTCGGCCAGAAAATAAGTTTTTAATTAATTGAACAAACACACCCGGGTGTGCCGGGTGCTAGGCCGAGGGTGAGTTGGGTATGTCTGGGCCCTGTCCCTTGGGCCTCTGCCTGCTTTAGTCTCCACAAGCCGAAGGCCACGCATCCACCATGCTTGCGGTTCCCATAATCACCTGTTATCCCCATGGGTCACTATGGCTTTAAAGAGGGGCGGGCATCTTCTCTCTTTGCCCTGAGGCCCACACAGGGAGTCCCCCTCCTGCCCTTTCCCCTGCCCCCCAGGCCTGGCCGCCATTAGCCCCCATGCCCAGGAGGGTGGGAGACTCTGGGGTAGCAGTGGGCAGGCCAGGGAAAGTGGGTCCCGTGCCAGCTACTGCTCTGCTCTCACCTCTGGGGCTCTCCCTGCTGCCATGGGGCCTCATGACTCACTTCCTCTGACTCCTTTCTGCTCTCCACGTGCTGTTTCCATGCAGATGGGCCCTTGGGACCTGAAGGGAGGTGGGCACACGGGACACAATGCCCCCTCTGCCGGCCTTGGGACTGGCTCTGCCCCTGTGCTCTGTGGGTTTCATACCCAGGGCTGCCGGGAAAGGGGCCAGAGGCTCAGCAGAGCAGCAGCAGGGCCCCAGGTGGCCGTCCGCTGCAGCTGGGCCCCTCTGCAGTCAGAGCGCCACAAGAGGAACCTTGGGCAGCGTGGCTCTCGGAAACTTCTGGAGGTTTCCAGGCCAGAGGGGAGGAAGGGACAGTGTCTGCCCCTCCCCCAGACTCCCCTGTCGGTAGCTCAGGCAGAGGCAGGCACCTGTGTCCCTCACTCCTGCCCTCGGGAAGCTCAGCTGAGGTTCTGTGGGGGCCTGGCCCTACCTTCCCTCTGAGCCTCCCGGCCGGGCCTGGTGTACCCCAGCAGCAAGGCCAGACAAGCAGCCAGGCCCGGGGGGCACCTGGAACCCAGCCGCCGCTCCCTGCCAGCCTTCCTGGCCCTTCCATCCTGCGGTCACGGCCTCGGCTGCCCGGGATTGGCTGGTGGAGGTGCCCCCTCACGGCCCACATTCCCTCACGGGAAGCAGGAAGCCGCTCGGGTATGTGGAATTGAATAGCAGGAAGTCTCTCCATTTACACAAAGAGAGGTGGCAGGCGTGAGCGGGCAGCCCAGCACCCCGGCCCAGGCCGCCCAGGCAGGCAGGCAGGGACCTGGGCTGCATCAGCTCCCCACACCCACCCACGGCCCCTGTGGACAAGCAGAGTGCCCGCAGTGACCGGGGTGGCCCCAGGGGTGCTGCTACCCTCCCGGGCTGGTTCCTGTCCTCCCCAAGGCTCTGACCCCGTGCGGAGCCCCCTGACAGGCGCCTCTGCCTCCGCGCAGCCCCCCATCAGCACTCCCCGCCGCTCCGACTCTGCCATCTCCGTCCGCTCCCTGCACTCAGAGTCCAGCATGTCCCTGCGCTCCACATTCTCGCTGCCCGAGGAGGAGGAGGAGCCGGTAGGTGTGGGGGACTCAGCGCAGAGCGGCTTCCAGGGCTGTCACTGCAGCGGTAGCACGGAGGCACCGTCCCCTCCGCCATGCCAGCCCAGCTCACAGGGAGGGCAGCTGGAGCCTGACAGGAACCGCAGTGCTTGGTCCGTGGTGGGGACTCGAGGGGCCAGGCTGAGTCCCCTGGGTATGTGCCCTACTCCCCTTTCTCAGGGCTGCCTGGGAACTGGCAGTGGGAAGCACGGGGCTCCGGCGGGGCCCTTTCCAGTCTCACCCCAGGAAGGAGGCAGGCGAGGGCGGCCAATACTGGGTAGCTGGACTCATCCTCCTGGGCTGGGCCATGCCTCTGGGGCCACAGACCTCGCTCTCCCTCTTGGGCCCCGATCAAGCCCCCCAGCTCTAAGCAGGCCTCTCTTAGGACGTGCCCCTGTCCTCAGAGGACAGCCAGGCCTGGAGCGAGAGCACCTGGGTGCCTGGGTGGTGGTGGGGCTGAGGGTGGCCTCCCGCCATTGCTTGCCTTTCACACTTGGTTCCAGGAGCCACTGGTGTTTGCGGAGCAGCCCTCGGTGAAGCTGTGCTGTCAGCTCTGCTGCAGTGTCTTCAAAGACCCCGTGATCACCACGTGTGGGGTGAGTCGCCCCCCTTCCCAGCCCCCATGCTGCCGGAGGCCCCCGCAGGACCGCAGGCCTCTCATGGGCCGGGGCTGCTGGTCCCTGGCCTCGGTTGAGGCCTGGTCTGGCTGCACTGGGATTGGGGTGCAGTGAGGCCTGTGGCTGCCATGGCCGTGGACTTGGGGAAAAGAGGACCCTGTGGCTGCCCTCAAGTCCGCCCTTTGCCTCCACAGCACACGTTCTGTAGAAGATGTGCCTTGAAGTCAGGTAGGCTCGTGCCTCAGCCGAGGCCTGGCACTGACCGTGCCCCTGGCTGCCGAGCAGAGACGGGCAGCTTCTCCCTTGTCCCCCGCACAGTGACCGGGCCTGTTTGGCCTCTGCTGGGGGTGGGATGGGGCTGCAGCAGTCCTTGGGATGCTCAGGCTGAGGCTCAGGCCCTCCATGAACAGAGTGGGGACACCCCAACTTCTAGTGTGTCCAGACTCAGAGACCCCACAGCAGGTGTGGGCCAAGGCTCCCCAGGTCAGGGTGGGCACCCTCTGGGGAGGCCTTTCTCACTGGTGAGGCTGTCGTCCTCCCACATGGCGCCCGCTCCTGCCTGCCTGTCCACACTCTGCCCTCTGCCCTCTTGGCCCCACCCCACACTTTTCCGGGCACAGCTGAGAGTATCACAGGTGACACTTCCTCACCACCTGCTGCTCCTTCTTGGTGGCCCACCTGTGCCCCCGTTCCCATGTTGCATGCCTCAAGAGGGGCAGATGGACAGGAGATCTGACCCCCGTTAAGAGGCTCATGCCCACCCCGGTGAGGGAGCATGTTCCAGGCAGGCCGTGGGGGTCAGCACGCCCTCCTCCCCCAGAAAAGTGTCCTGTGGACAATGTCAAACTGACCGTGGTGGTGAACAACATCGCGGTGGCCGAGCAGATCGGGGAGCTCTTCATCCACTGCCGGCACGGCTGCCGGGCAGCGGGCGGCGGGAAGCCCCCCATCTTTGAGGTGGACCCCCGAGGGTGCCCCTTCACCATCAAGCTCAGCGCCCGGAAGTAAGTGCCCCTCCCTGGGCACCTTTGCCTCCCTGGGGGCTGCCTCTCGGGGCTTTGGCTCAGGCTTCCCCGCATCCCACCCTGGCACAGGGACCACGAGGGCAGCTGTGACTACAGGCCTGTGCGGTGCCCCAACAACCCCAGCTGCCCCCCACTGCTCAAGATGAACCTGGAGGCCCACCTCAAGGAGTGTGAGCACATCAAATGTCCCCACTCCAAGTACGGGTGAGTGGGGGGCGGGCGGGGGCGGACGAAGTCCCTCCACAGGCTCCGCTAAGAACCGCCTGCTTGCTGGTCCCGGGGAGGTGGGTCGGAGCTGGGACCACACCAGGGTCTGTAATCCTCTCTGAGGCCCAGGAGCCCAGGAGAGGCCCAAGGCCCTGGAAACACAGAGGAGGAGCCGAGGGCAGCCAGGAAGGTGGGCATGGATGCTCCCGCAGCCCACCAGGCATGGGCGGAATTGAACAAATGCTGGGGTTGAGAGCTCTGGAGAGGGAGGTGGGGGTGGGAGGAGAGGCAGGAGCCCAGTTCTTCAGGGCAGGGAGGCTGCTGAGGGGCGTGGGTTTTATCCTCAGGGAGTGAGGAACCCTTAAACAGCTCTGCAGGGGTGACGTGATGGGACCTCACTTGTGAAGCTGCCCAGGGGTAGCTAGGTGGGGAAGAGGGGCAGCTGGACCTGGGGTGCAGTGGCCACAGGGCTGGAGCACTCGAAGGGGATTCTTGGGGATAGGGAGGCACCAGCAGGGACCCACCAGGCAGGCAGGTGGGCAGCTGTCCTGTCCCCGCAGGTGCACGTTCATCGGGAACCAGGACACTTATGAGACCCACCTGGAGACTTGCCGCTTCGAGGGCCTGAAGGAGTTTCTGCAGCAGACGGACGACCGCTTCCACGAGATGCACGTGGCGCTGGCCCAGAAGGACCAGGAGATCGCCTTCCTGCGCTCCATGCTGGGCAAGCTCTCGGAGAAGATTGACCAGCTAGAGAAGAGCCTGGAGCTCAAGTTTGGTGAGGGTGGGCACTGGGGCAGGTGGGGGCCTGGCCACTGCTCCGGGCACCAGTGACACCCCCTCTCCTCCTGCTCCTCAGACGTCCTGGATGAAAACCAGAGCAAGCTTAGCGAGGACCTCATGGAGTTCCGGCGGGACGCATCCATGTTAAATGTGAGTGGGCGGGGCTGCAGGGGCTGGGTTGTGAGACCAAGGGAAGCTGGCGGCCCTGGCAGGGAGGCCTCCCTTGGCCTTGGCTCCACTAGTCAAGATCAGGGGTCTGTGTGTGGCAGGGACTCCTGTCGCCCCTGCTCACCCCTGGCCCAGGGCAGCAGGGGCAGAGAGGCTGCACTGGCCCCACAGCAGCCCTGCCCACCTGCCCTCTGCCCTGCCCTTGGCCCTGCAGGACGAGCTGTCCCACATCAACGCGCGGCTGAACATGGGCATCCTAGGCTGTGAGTATGGGCCTGCCGCGGCTCCCACCTGCCCTCCCCGTGCACCCCTACGGGGCCCTCACTCACTGCTCCCGTCTCTGCAGCCTATGACCCTCAGCAGATCTTCAAATGCAAAGGGACCTTTGTGGGCCACCAGGGCCCTGTGTGGTGTCTCTGCGTCTACTCCATGGGTGACCTGCTCTTCAGCGGCTCCTCTGACAAGACCATCAAGGTAGGCGGAGTCCTACCTCAGTCTCTGCAGCATGGATGGGTTGGGCACTACTGCATGCCTGGCACTGCCAGCCTGCCTATGGGTGGGACCTTCTCCTGGGCAGGGCTTTCTCCCATGGGCGGGGCTTTCTCCCATGGGCAGGGCTCCCTTACTCATTCCTGTCATGCTGCCCCTTGGCACCGGGCTGACCTTGCTGGGACCCACCGTGGCCCTGGTCTCTGCAGGTGTGGGATACATGTACCACCTACAAGTGCCAGAAGACACTGGAGGGCCACGATGGCATCGTGCTGGCTCTCTGCATCCAGGGGTGAGTCCAGGCACGTGTGTGACCAGTGATTCCCAGGTCAGGAGATGTGGTGCTGCTACTCCGTGGGCCGTGAGCCATGAGCTCGAGCCTGTGTAGCTATGTGTGTGCCCCACCTCTAGGGCGCCCTCCACCTGGAGCAGCACTGGCTCCCTGGGTAGCAGTGTGTGGGCCCTTGTGTGGCCTGCACCATCTCTGAAGTTGTGTGTTCCCAACAACTAGCATAGCCAGCCTCCCAGCAGAACCTTGTCCTGGCCCCGGTGCTCCTCGTGCAACCAGAAGATGGGGGGACCTTAGGGAGTGAAGGCAGGAGCTCAGCTCTCCTCAGCCTGCAGTCAGAGCCCAGGGCATAGGGACCACGGAGCAACTACCTTGGCCACCTTCTTGCCTCCAGGTGGCCTACCTGCCTCCTGTCTCCTGTCGTGAGGCTTTGTGGGAGCAAGCGTGTAAGCGTGTGCGTGAGAGATGCTCGCTTTCAGGAGGCGGCAGCTTGACTGCCAGCAGCCGGCCCTGGGATTGACTCAGTGCTAACGGGCGGGTAATTACCTCCCGGCTCGCTGTCAAATGCTTTCCAGGCAGGCATCAGGCTGGCTCACCCCTTCCAAGGTTCCCGTGTGGAGACTGGAAAATAGGCTGGAGCTTAGGGACACAGCAGTGGCCTTGGCCCTGGGCCACGCTGCTAGTTCCTGATGGTTGGCATGGACCTCGGGCCCTGCCAGGGCGGTGTCAGCAGGGACACAGCTTCTCCCACCGTGACACACTCTCTGCTTCCCCAGGTGCAAACTCTACAGTGGCTCTGCAGACTGCACCATCATTGTGAGTGGGGCCTACAGGCGGGTGGGCAGGAGGCAGCCCAGGCCTGCCTCAGTATGTAGGTGCCCCAGGGAGGTGTTTCTCCCCATCTGGGCTCCGGACTCCAGACTTCAGGTGACAGGGCTTGGTGCCCTGAGGCTTCCGGTCCTTCCCCAATCAGGTGTGGGACATCCAGAACCTGCAGAAGGTGAACACCATCCGGGCCCACGACAACCCGGTGTGCACGCTGGTCTCCTCACACAACATGCTCTTCAGCGGCTCCCTGAAGGCCATCAAGGTACGGGTGGAGGGTGTGCCTGTGTGTGTGAGTCACTGAGGTGTCCCTTGCCCGCCCAGCCCACAATTGTAGCCATCCCTGCAGGTCTGGGACATCGTGGGCACTGAGCTGAAGTTGAAGAAGGAGCTCACAGGCCTCAACCACTGGGTGCGGGCCCTGGTGGCTGCCCAGAGCTACCTGTACAGCGGCTCCTACCAGACAATCAAGGTGCACCTGGGGACACCTGGTGGCCACAGGGCCTTGTCCCCTACCAGCACTTCCCAGACCAGCACCCAGGGCTCCATCTGCCCTGTTCCTACCTTCGCACATGCCCTGGCTGGGTGGGTGGGCTGCCCAGTGGTGCTGAAGCCCTGGGGGTGAAGCACCTGGCCTGGGACCAAGTGGCCCACGATTACTCATAGATCTGGGACATCCGAACCCTCGACTGCATCCACGTCCTGCAGACGTCTGGCGGCAGCGTCTACTCCATTGCTGTGACAAATCACCACATTGTCTGTGGCACCTACGAGAACCTCATCCACGTAAGGCCTGGGCGTCTGGGTGCAGGGCCAGACTGTGGCCCCATCTCCCCTGCCTTGCTCAGTGTCTTTGACCTGCCTGTGCCCACCCCTCCCAGGTGTGGGACATTGAGTCCAAGGAGCAGGTGCGGACCCTCACAGGCCATGTGGGCACCGTGTATGCCCTGGCGGTCATCTCGACACCAGACCAGACCAAAGTCTTCAGTGCATCCTACGACCGGTCCCTCAGGGTGCGTGCGGGCCCAGCGGTGGCAGGAGGCTGAGAGGGCGGGCAGCTGAGCTCCAGCGGGCCCTCACGTCCCATGTGCCCCCAGGTCTGGAGTATGGACAACATGATCTGCACGCAGACCCTGCTGCGTCACCAGGGCAGCGTCACCGCGCTGGCTGTGTCCCGGGGCCGACTCTTCTCAGGGGCTGTGGATAGCACTGTGAAGGTCAGTGTCCATGGCTCGGGCCATTCAAAGGGGCTGCACAGGATGGAGCGGGGGTGGGAATGAGGAGCTGGCAGCCCCAGCATGAGGTGGTGGAGGGTAGGTATATGTGACAGGTGTGGCTGGGCCAGGGTGGCTGGCCGCAGGACACCTTGGTGAAGCAGCCGTTTCTCTGCAGGTTTGGACTTGCTGACAGGATCCAGGCCAGGCCGTGGCTTCCCCTGGACCAGCCCTGGACCTGTCTGAGCCAGGCTGGCCACATGGGGTGGTCTCGGAGTTTCTGCCTGCCCTATGGGCACAGGTGCACAGGCTTTGGCAGCCGGGCAGTGCCCTCCCTGCCCAATGCTCGGCGAGCCTCCCTCTACTCGGCACTATCCTCGCTGCCCAGCCCCTCTCTCTGGGTGCCAGGTACGACGCTTGCCCCGGCCCACCCTCCATCCCCACCCTAGATGGATCGAGGGCCTTTTTACTCACCTTTTCTACTGTTTTTAGACTGTGTGTAGATTTGGTTACTTCCTGGTGGAAATAAACACTCCACAGACTGTGGCTGTGAGTGGGGACAGCTCCTCGGGACAAGGGGGCTGTGTGGCCTTGAGGTTGGTGTGCATAGGCACTGGCTGCTGTGAGTGGGGGGGCATGGGGCGGTTTTCTCTGGTGGACCCCAGGACTTCAGCCCACTCTGGGGCCTCCCTGCTAGGAGGCAACTTGTCACACCCGAGCTGCTGGCCTTCAGACCCATCTCCCCCAACACATGTGCCCCCAAAAAGTGAGCCAGGCACTTCTGTTTCCTGCTGTTTATTGACAGCCAACGGCAGCGCCTTGCCCAAACCTCCCCTCCCTGCCTGCTGGAGCCCAGCCTGGGCCGCCCACTGAGGAGAGGCCTGGGGGGACAGCTGGGCACGTGCACTTACAGGGAAACACGGGGTGAGACAGCGGGAAGGGGCCCTGCACGCACGGACGCCACCTCCGCCAGCCGCCTCCGCCCGCCCCACACCACAATCGCTGGTTTTCGGCATTTTTTAAATTTTTTTTTTTAAGAAATGTCAAAGTTGTGCCCAACACTGTGGATCAGCAAACACGATAGAGACCAGTCAGTACATCTTGGAGGGAGCAGGGACAGAGAGAGGAAAAGGGAGGGTGAGAATGACCACACGACACAGCCTTGGACCATGAGCAGAAGCGTCCGTGGGAACTCCAGCGGGGTGGACAGGCTGCCTGCGCAGGCCCCAGAGGAGGCCAGGCACGCCCTCAGAGGAGCTGCAAGCCCCTGGCCTGGCCTGCTACGTGCCCTGCTTCCACGTGGCCGCCACACTGACACACCCACATTCACCACACCCACCCGCGCCCCGATACAGCCACGCCAGGAGGAGGACATGGCCGCCAAGAGCAAGGCACAACCTCGAGTTCTTGGGGCGCAGAGAACTTAGGAGAGAAGCGCAGAGGAGCCCCCGCCTGAGCACCCGCCCCGGGGCCCCAGCCTTCCACCTGTGCTAGCGGCCTGGGGCCTCCACTCTGGCCGGAGGGAGGAAGGACCGCAGGCAGACGGCCTGGTCCTCTTAACAGCTTTTGTCCGGAGCTAGACTCTTGTCCTTTCAGTTGGTAAATGGTTTTCTATAGAATCAATAATATTTCTTTCTTTAAATATATATTTGTTAAAGTTATACCTTTTTGTTTCTCTGGGGAAATCCGCCTCAGCTCATTCCCAATAAATTAATACTCTTGATAGCTTATATTCTGGGGGTGCGGTGGGGCAGGGGGGCCCTGACCCTGGTCCCCTGTCCCTTGTGCTGCGCCTGAGCGGCTGACCAGGCGTCCCGATGGGCAGTTCTGTGCTGGGCCCGGGCCTGTGCGCTGCCCCATCCCTGGTCCCGGGGCGCCCTCCCCTTCCGCACAGGCAGGAGGCCCAGCAGGTATTGCACGGGGAGCAGCAGGTGGGGAGGACGCGCGGGCGCGGGGTCTGCCCAGAGCCCTTGGAGCCCCCGGCCAGGCGGTCCCCGGTGGGCGCCCCGGCCCGACCCCAGGGGCCGGAGTTGTGCTTGTGCGGGGCCCTGCCCGGCCGCTCGCGCCGCGCCCAGACGCGCCCATCCTGAGGTAAAGGTCAGTGTGCGGGGAGGGCCCGGGCGGCGCAGGCGGGCCCGGCGAGGCGGCGCTCACTCCAGCATGGCGTCCAGCTGGTCGGCCAGGTCGTCGAACATGCTGCCGATGTCGTCCAGGATGCTGCCCGTGCTCTTTTCCGCCGCCGAGTCGCTGCGGGGCGCGCGGCGCGGGGCGTGAGCGGGCGGGGTGGGCCTGGCCACGCCCACTTCGGTCAGGACACGCCCACAGCCCGCATCTCCGTCGGGCTCCGCCTACCGCACGATGACCTCGACCGAGCCCCGCTGACGCCGCGCCTGTCCCTACTGAGCCCCGCTCACGCCACGCCCATCTCTACCAAGCCCCGCCCACCTGCTGAGCCTCGCCCTCCGCCCGCCAGGCCACGCCCCGCACCTACCGCGGGCCCTGCGCGTCCTCCTGCCGGATTTTCTCCTCCACCGCCTGGAGCGCCGCGGCCAAGCATGCGCTTGTCTCCTCCAGCTTCTGCCGGGCGCTGTCCCCGGGCGAGGCGCCTTCGGTTGGGGCGGGGGGCGCGGCGGCGGCAGCGGCGGCGGCGCGCGGGGGCTTGGCGGGCACGTGCAGCGCGGGCGCGCCGGGGGACGGGGGCTTGACAGGGCTGGTGCCCAGCGAGGGCGGCGTACCGGGCGGCTTGGCGAGGGCGGCGGGCGGCTGGCGCGCGGGCGAGGGTGCGGGCGAAGGGCCAGCGCTGCCCGAAGGCAGCCCCGCGGCCACCTTGGCGGGCTTGGGCGCCGTGGGCGGCGGCGGCGGCTTGGGAGACACGGGCGGCGGTGTGCCGTGGGCGCGCTTCACCTCTGCGGGAAGGACCACGCTGGCACCAAGCGGACACGAACCCCGCCGCCGGGCCCCCTGCCCCGGCCTCCCGCGGCCTACTCGCGCCGCTGCCTCCCCAGCGGACCAGGAAGGACCTTGCTCACCTTGCCCTGGATGCATGAGAGGGTCTGGGGACACGTTCCCACCCCACCTGGGCTTCCATCAAACCCAAGAAAAGGAAAACCCCGCAGACCACCGAGTAGAGAGGTGGAGCAGAGTCCTGCCGCCCCCTCACCCCACCCTGGCTGGCCCCATGCGCCTACCTGGGCTGCCAGGGCCTGGCAGCGGCACCTTCTTGGAGGTGGGTGTGGGCGAGCCCTGGATCTTGGGCATGGGCTGCGTCAGGACTGGCTTGGGAGAGACAGGCGGCTTGGCCGGCTTCCGGGCTTCGCCCTCGGGCGGGGGTAGTGGGGGTAGGTGCGCCAGGTCGGTGGGCGGGGGTTCGGCAGGCGGGGGCGGTGGGGGCAGCTCCGGAGGCCCAGCCTGCTCCGAGGCCGGTCGGCGGCGCACGGTGCCAGTGCCATTCTGGTACACGGACAGTGGTGGTGGTGGCTCAGGCCCGGCCTCCCGCTCCTTGGCCTTGGGCCGGCGCTTCACCGTGTCAGACTCGGTCAGGATGAACTTGACGTTCTCCTGCTGGTTCTGCTTGGCCCGGATGCGCCTCTTGAGTGTGGCGCTGGCCTCCACCCTGGCTAAGGGCGGGCCCTCAACACCTGCCTCGCCCTTGGAGGGACCCCGAGGCCGCTGCCGGCCAGTGCCATCCTCCACAAAGAGCCCTGGGTCTGCCGACTCCCCAGGCCCCCGGCGGGCAGTGGCCAGAAGTCCAGTGACTGGCCCGCTGAGCGTGCGGCGCCGGTTCACCACCTCCCCGCCAGGCCCGATGGCCTCTTTGTGTTTCACTGAGGCCAGCACGGTGGCCACCCGACCCGGCTCTGGGCTGGCAGGGCGGGGAGTGGGGTGGCCCTCGGGAGGCCTGCGGGCAGCCCGGCCCCCACCCCCAATGGAGGACAGCTCCAGCATGGCCGCAATGCTCTTCACACTGCCGGCACTGCCCGTGTCCACACTGCCGGCCAGGTCACTGGCCCGCCGGCACTGTGCCCGGACCCCCAGCAGGCCATCTTCAGGCTCAGCGTCCGGCACCGGCTCATCCGCCAGGTTGGCACTGGCCAGGGCCGAGCTGGAGCGCTTGGGCGGGGGCGGCGGTGGCCCCTTCTTTCGGGGCCGCACAGCGAAGGACTGGCTGCGGTTGACGTTCTTGTCGGCACCTGCAGGCGCCCTCACCGAGTGGCTGCGGCCCACGCGCCGCTGGACCGTGGCATAGGGGCCCGCAGCAGTAGGCACCAGCAGCTCGTCCCGCTCCGGCTCGCTGTCAGACGCCGCGTAGCGATTCAGGCTGTGGGCTCGCTTCTTGGGCCGCCCCGGCTCTGCGTCAGCCTCGGGGGGCAGGCACAGTGTGGGCACAGCAGTCGGCACGGGTGGGGGCGCAGGCCCCGGGGCAGCTGGCCCCACCTCGCCCTCCACAGGCTGGGGCAGCACATAGGCAAAGCCGCGGTGCGTGGGTGACTGAGGCAGGGAGCGGGGTGACATGGGGCGCTCTGTTGGCGGCAGCAGCTGCGGGGTAGGCTTCACCTTGGCTGTAGCTGGGGCTGGACCATGAGGTCCCCCAAGGGCCTGGGGAGAGCCTGGTCGGGTTTTGGTGGGAGTCTGCGGGGGCGTGAAGTGGCTGGTGCCTGGTGGGAGGACCTGCCGTGGCTTGCCAGGCACAGGGGGCACGCTGGCCCTCTTGACGCTGTGACCGTGGCGGCCTGGCCTGGCCTCCTTGGGCGGGGTGCCGGGAGCCGGGCCTTCATCCAGCAGGTACTCCTGGCTTCGAGACATGGGGCTGCTGGGCCCAGGGGGCCCGTCGCCCAGCAGCTCCTGTGAGCTGCTCATGTGCCGTGCCCGACCACTCAGGCTGGACTCCTGCCGTGTGGTGGCCCTCGGAGTGGGTGGCAGATGGCTGGAGGGCTTCTCAGCTGTGGTCCCCACCTCAGCTGGGCCAGTCATGGCAGCCTGCAGCTCATCACTGAGCTCGCTGTCCTGGAAGGTGGTCATTTTAGGGGACTGGCAGTCGGCCGGTGTGGGCTCAGGCGGGGGCGGAGACTCAATGGCCATCACTTCAAGTGACTGGGGCGCCTTCCGGCGCAGGGGGCCCCCCTCATACTTGGCATATTCAGCCTTCTGCAGCTCTGCCAGCTTCCTCACAGCCAGCATCAGCTTCTTCTGGTGTCCTGAGTGGGGCGCAGGGGGCAGGTCAGGTGGACCAGGAAGTGGAGGGCAGGGGCTGGGCTAGGGCAGGGCTGGGCTGGGGGCTGGGGCTGGGAGCTGAGGGCAGGGGCTGGAAGCTGGGGCTGGGGCTGGGGCCTCACCCAGCTTGGTGATGCCGATCTCCTGCAGGTCCTCCCAGGTGATATCAGTGATGAAATCGATGTTCTCATAGCCATTGTCCACCAACACCTTGTAGTACTGGGCCAGGCCGATCATGGACAGCCACACGGCCAGGTTAGCCTACAGAGCAGAGACACAGAGGGGCCACCTGGGCTGGCTGCCCGCACCCTGCCCATCTACCTGGAGCTGGAGGA